CCTATCCCCTGTGTGCCTTGCTCCCACGACTTCCAATAGGTATTTTTGCACCTAGGCGGGTGCAGTCTCCTCGGTATCCATCTAGCACCCTGCCTAGTAGGGCACCTACCTACGTGGGGTATTAGGCAGGTGCCTAGGGACAACCCGCCTAGTTGGTCCGCCCAAGCATTGACGATTCGCCCAGGCCCCTCTAGCCATCCCAGGCGGCTTCCAATGACCAGGGCAGATCATTTTTTCAATAAATGATCAAGATTATCTATTTTTAAGTGTTCACAAATCTGATATCTGTATTATTTTGGACCTACCAATTTTATAATCATTGATGCAAAAAGATTCTAGAGCAGCTTGAGGGGAGGCTCTACCTTTTTTCACAAAGCCTATGCTTTATACAAATCACATCTTTTATCTATGGGGGAATGGTTTGATAGGGCGGCAGCCGCATCAAAATAAATAAAGCATCACTTCATAACTTATTGAAAATTACAATTCAAGCATTCGAAAATGTTTATATGAATCATCTTGGCTTGAACATTATGGTTATAAAAAAAAGAAAAAATATCTCGATACCCTCTTTTTTTAAGTTTTATATCGCAATAGACTCAAGGTTTCAAAACATATATTGGGTCATAAAAATTATAAGTTTTATATCTTTTAACCCTCTAAACTAACTTTATCTTCTTTTAAACATATGTTTTTACCCCAAACAAATATAAGAAAGACATATATTTTCTAAACACCATCATTTCTCTCTATGCACACGATTTTTTTCTAAATCTCTCCACCCATTTTTCTGCTCTCTCCACCCATGTCTCTCACTCTCTCTCTCCCCCGTTAGAGAGACAAAGAGGGTGAATGTTAGAAAAAGAGAAATTTGGGGGGAATATATCACATAAAGAGAGGAGGGGTTTAAAATGAGTATGTTTTTTTTATATTTGTTAGGGCTAAAAAAATAGTTAAAAGTGGGTAAAGTTAGTTAGGGAGTTAGGAGATATATTTTGAATTTTTAGGTCTATTGAGATATGAAAATAAAAAATAAGGGGCACAAGGATATTTTCCCTAAAAAAAAAAAGATATCAAACTCTAAAAATAGTGTATAGAGTAACAAATTTTCTAGACCATTCATTCTTCCTAATAGTAAGTAAATCATAGATCCACGAGATTTATACTATTTTTTGAATTTTCAATTTTATTGTCAGCATTGAAAATTGATATTAAAGCCATCATAGAGATTTCTATTGATAAAAGTGCTTTCGGGATAAAGATTTGAAGTGAGGCTTTATTTTGTTTTCATGAAGCTCAAAACCTCATCCTCTATCTATTTACCTCTTTTTAACTCTTTAAAGTTCAGTGTACTACTATTGGTTTTGTTTGAAGGCTACATATCATAAGAACCATCAATCCTTTTACAGGGGAAAAAATTATTGCTTTATGAAAAACAAAATAATATACTCTTTACGAAACGTGCAGCGTATGTCAGGGGACGCCCTTCAAAATATGCATCCCCTGATGCAAGTAGCAACCATCTTAAAGATGGATGTTAACAGGTGCTGGCCCTATCAAAACTTTTAAATTAATGGTCTAGACAAATGCACTTGAAAGTATTTTTTTATTTTAAAAATTATGATTATTTTATATTTATGTTTATCATGGTATAGATTATCAAGCTCTGAAATTTTTGAATCCAAAATCAACCTCTAAGATAGGTCTTGGAAGGACATATATGAATAGATGAGTCGGCTGACTCATAGAAACCTTGTCCTACTCTTTAATATATCTGGCGAGTTTGTTCACTTTTCATTAGTTTGTTTTCGCATAATTACCAAATTACTATTTCTAACCTATTTTTATCAATTTTTCAATTATCAATTTTTTTTTTATTTTCCCCATATTTAATTTCGGTGTGATTTTGTCGATTTCAAAAGTTCTTGAAAACTTTTTCATTACCTTCCCCTTTTTTACAATTTCCCCATTTGAACATCGTCTTGAATTTATTTCTTAGATGTTGGTATTCCAATACAACAGCAAAATGACGTAAAAAGGAAAAAGACCAGCCCATTCGTATTTTCAAAAACTTTTTTTTTTTTACCAAGAGTAACATATTTTATTAATAAAAAGAGTGATTACAAAGATAAGTACAAAAAAAAAAAAAGAGCTACAGATAAAAAAAAAAAGAGTACAAGCTTTCTATGCTTCCCTTACAACGTAAAACAAAGTGATACAGTCTTAACCAAATCATGTGCCATTGGATTAACGTCTCTATTAACATGCCTGAAGGTAAAACCACTGCTGACAGATAAATCCACCACGTTATGCCATAAAATTCGTAGTCACCAAGGAGGTCTTGACAATCGAGTACACCTATTGATAACATTGTGAGAATCACCTTCAATGAGTACATTGTTATGGAAGCCCTTATTTTTAAGAATCAACAGACCTTGCAGTAAAGTTGCTAATTCCACGAATTAGGATTATTTTATCTTGCTTTACTACGAAATTAGCAGTAAACCCCCATTTTTTTTTTTAAAAAAAAAAACTTGTTTCTCGGTGCCCTTTCCTCGCGGATTATTAGCATGGTCTGAAAAATGAGCTTCGTTCGGACATTACACCTTGGAATTTAAGTCTCATTATGGATGAGAAAAGTGCAATTCACCCACATGTTAAGAGATTTCAATACCGATGCACTATTTAGCCAAACAGGAGACTTTGGCCGAGTGCCTCCCCTCTTATCTACCTATGTTTTTTTACCTTTTCTTTTTTTTTTTTTTGTTTTTTTTTTTGTTTTTTTTGACTTTTATGCAGATGTAATTTTTTGATTATCTCAAAGAAGCTTTCATAACATTTTAAAAAAAAAAAAATGGAAAAGGAAACCATCATCTAAAATTACAACATTTCTTATAGAAACAATCTAGTTAGATGATTTAATTTTAGTCAAAGAATCTAATTAGTGTTAAATGATTTACTTTTGCACGTGCTTATTATGAGTCGGCTGATTCCTATCATATTAGCTCTCTCTATATAATATAGTTTTAAGATGGATTTTGAACTTAATTTTTTAGGAGTAACGAATCTCTAACATGGGAACATTATTATGCAAAAGTAAATAAATTTTAAAGTTAAAAATGAAGTTTTTTTATGGAAAAATTTTGACCACCAATTTTGTTTCAATGTGGGACTACTACTTTTTCACATCCATCCTTAGGATGAATGCGTGATGCGTCAGCAAATGTAGAATCGCTTCCCTTGATGCATAATTTCCTTTATTTCTTAATGTTCATCACCAGGGTATTTTTTCAAAAAATATCTTAAAAATAATTTAAAAAATAGTTTAGTTGCCTATATTCAGGCTTGGTAGCCTCCCATCAGTTGTTTCGGACCTCTCAGGTTAGTTAAATTACTGAATTGTAAGAACATGTTCACAGATCCCAACAGGGGTAATTTTCGCATTTTTTAATATCTTTTGAAGAGATACCTAATGGAAATAAGTACTAACAATTAAAATGTAAACTCTAATGTTCTCTTTCTATTTTTTTTTTTTGGAAATGTTGACTTATGTCTTTACTTTTATATTATAAACATTACAAGTATAACAAATCCTGGATATACTCT